ACACTGGGATTTTAAAGTATTTGAAGCAATAATCTAAATTACATTTGTTGTGTGCGGCACCTCTATATTCACCTGTAAAGTGGCAGTGGTCTGCCACCTTTGTTTTTGCTGGGTCTTTTGGATTGAATTTGCCACCGCATATAAAACAATGTTTGGCGTGCTTATGCTCTTCTTTCTGTCTTGCTGTCCATTGTAACTTTTTATTCTCCTTCATCTTTTCCATAATCTCCTCTTTTATTTTGTTAATGGTTGAACAAAACCTATCCATACAATCCTCACCTCTGTATAGATATGGTGTTGCTTCGTTGGTTATGCTATTAACTACATTTAGCATAAAACCGCACGGTTTATGATGTTGATAGGTGCCCTTGATACCATCAGATGAAGGCGTTGTAAGGCATTCAAAGTCACCATAAATAACATAAGGACACTTAAGTTTCTTGTAATGCTTTTGGAAACTCATTTTTTCATCCTCCTTTGGCATTACTATTTGTTGAATTTCATTTGCCATACATCCTTTGATTAAATGGTTGTTAAGTAGGGTCTCTTGTTGAAAACCCCGTTGGCAATACATACAATGAAATAACTTTGTTTTATGATTGTTGGTCTGCGCTCCCATTAACTTATTATAGTCCTTAATTAAAACATAATGATTATTATTATCCTCTTCTAAAAGTAGTAAATTAACGTGACACGATGGATTTTTAATTTTAGTAACTCTATTAACTACTATTGAATTAGTGCCATTTGGGTCTATGGCATAAACATTAACTGATATTGCTCTATCGTTTATTTCTTCAAAGGTGTCAATGTCTTCGTTAGATGCTGGAAATTCTATGCCAACCCATTTTATCAAATTATCATTTTCTTTTAGTTTGTTATAATGATACATCCTGTCGGGGTGGTCTTTCTTCATTATCTCATAAAATCTTGATTGGACGCAGTATTTGAAACAATAATCGTCGTCATTCTTGATATTGATACATGCCTTTTTAGTAGCAATCCATTTAGGTAATTCAATATATTTCCCCGCCCTTGTTGGGTTGTATTTGTCATAATGGATTGTGATTTTTTCAATGTGGTTTATCTTATAACCTGACTTGTTCAGTTGTGAATTTCCTATTAAAATCTCTATATCCGATGCCATATTATCAACTGCTTTCTTTAATTCTTCTGGATTGTTAATTGTGTAAATTCTGCTGGTCATTTTAAATACTGCTTGTTCTTCCATTTCTAAATGTGTAAAAGCGACGTCTGTATCAATCCTAATTTTCATGTTGTTGTTCTTGTCTAAAAACTCCCTTAATCTTGGTTCCTGATATTTCAAATGTGTTAGTCCTTTTGTTCCTTTTAATAATGGTGATATGTTAGAAATTGAATAGGAATTGGCATATTTTTTAAATGCGCTTGTTTCATTTGTAACCTTCGCTTTTTTACTAATAACGTATTTCTTTAATGCCTTTCTGATTGCTATACCTTTCGTTGCTGTCTTCAATATATCATATCTTTTAAAACCCTGTGTTTTGGATATTGTTCTGAGTTTCTTCTTTAATCGTTCTGATATAGGTTTTTGTTTGTTATATGAATATTCTTTATCATTAATAATAACCTTCTTGAGTTCCCTATTCCCTTGCGTTTTTATGTTGCCTACTTGACTACTTAATACATAATCCATTATATAATCATAATCCGGTTCTCCCATATACTATATAGTTCGTTTTTCTTTAAGTATTTTTGGGGTCGGGTTTTGGTTGTGGGTTTGGGTGTGTGGGTCTGGGGTTGTAACGTGAAACATTCATTTTATTAAGTTGTTAATAAAATCAATGTTCAAAAATATTTGTTGTAAATATGAATAGTCTTTTCCATTATTTCTTCTATTTCATCGTTTATTTTACTGCCTTTCTCTTCTAAATCCATTATTTTGTCTCTAATTCTGCGTTTGTCTCTTGAACCTTTGGTTTTACGTCGTTCCTCCTGTAATCTGTCTATTTCATGACCTATGTCATCCATCTTCAAAAATAACTCGCATTTTCTACAAGCATTCATTTTACAAATGTTTAAACAAATAGGTTCTGGTAAAAACTTCATTAACCGACCTAGATTTTTCGCTTTGAAACGACATATATAGCAGTTTTCAATTACTTCGGTATATTCATCGCCAGACCCTGTATCACTACTCAGCATATACTTAATATTTAAGGTCATTTGTCTTTAAGTAGTTTTGGGTATGGTTTTGGGTTGTGGGTTTGGGTGTGTGGGTCTGGGGTCATAACGTGAAACTCGGGTAGAGGGTCAAATTTACTATCCGCTGTTTTTATTTTTTGTCTAATGGTTTGTTTTTCATTTTTTGCTGTTTCTGTTTGATTTTCCCTAGCGTTTGCCTATCATTTTGAGGAGTTTTTGTTTTATCATAGTGTTTTGTATTTACTGTATTGGTTTTAGCAATAATTTTTATCTACATTTGATGCTGTATTTGGATTTTTATGTTTTTGTTTTCAAAGACATTTTCAAAAAGGAAAAGGGCAAGGCGTGGCGTGTGCCGAATAAAGGACATAACTACCTAACCCCTATTTTTAATACCGCCGACGGGGGACAACTTTCAAAAGGGTGTGTTTTTCTAAAAACGACAATTTTAGTCCCCCATATAAAAACAGAAAATCATTCAACCCTACAAATCCTAAAAAACATATACCTAACCTAAACCCTATCCTAAATCCCTGATGTGCTGACACTTCTGAGTGCCATCGCAATGCTTTGTTTGACTGATTAATCAGTCGGATTTCCCTTGTCCGCTCCATCTTCAGGGATGGTTGTTCATAAAACCCCTAAATAATATTTGAAACCTAAATCCTAAACCTTATCCTAAAACCAAAGTTTGGCTCGTGGCATCTGGAAGTCAAAGAAGACGATGTCTTCACAACCTGGCAGTTAAGTTTTTATGATTTCGCTTCTGCTTCAGGCTTCTGTGTGATGTGCTTGAGGTAATGGCATTTTGACTGCGTGTGCTCAAGAAAGCGTCCATACACTCACGTCCAACACTCCTAGGAATGAACATCGTGATGAGTCATCGCTTTCAGCATTGCTTTCAGCATTGCTTGTAGCAAAGCGTTCAGTCGGTCATTGTGTCATCCGATGCCTTTTTTGTGGCATCTGACGCCTGTGTCTGGCACTTGATGAAATGGTCACGCGCGAGGGTGTAGAACTTGGAATGCGACTTCTTCTGCGACCCCTCTTGGCAGGTGAATTTCAGGTAGGCCTTGAGGAAACGTGCCTTGACATACTTCTTGGAAATGTTAATGCGCTTCTCGGTTGCCTTACAGGGAATGGACTAGTGAAAATGGGTTTCGGTGGGTAGGGCGTGGGTTAGTGAAAATGGGTTTCGGTGGGTAGGGCGTGGGTTAGTGAAAATGGGTTTCGGTGGGTAGGGCGTGGGTTAGTGAAAATGGGTTTCGGTGTATCTGTTTCTTCAATTCACTAAGTCTCCGACCATAAGGTCGGCATACTCACGGACAAACTGGAGGTAGGGCTCGACCAGCGTGCCAACAACACCGGTCTTTGGTTGCTCATCCATCTGCTTCACCAATGAAGAAGACTGCTCAAGAGTCAATGACTGAACCCAAGGCTCAATGCTCACCTCTCCCAGCTTCAACGCGGACTGAACAACGCGGATGTCACCCGCAAAGATGGCAGGGGGCGTGATGTCAAAGTCAATTATCTCGTTGGTGGTGTGCTCCTTCTTGATGCGCTTTCCTCCGCCACTGATGCCGCCTTGGATGGTGACGATGCTTCCATCGGTAAGCTCGTATCCGGCCACGGTCTTCCTGTGCGAGGACAACTCAACATCGCCATTGAGGAAGCGGTAGGTTTTGAACTGCTTCTTGGTGATGGTGCCGATGTGGTCACGAACCTTATCACGAACGTCCTTGATGGTGGTGTCCTTTGCGAAGGCGATGACGAAGCGCTTCTCCCCCATGATGAAGTTGATATTGATTGTCATTGCCCTTGCTTTGGCCTTTTCCTCCTTCTGGGTCTGGCGCTTCTCCATCTGAAGCAGCTTGTTTGCTTCCTTCTTCTCTTCACGCTTCAAATTGGCCACGACCTTCTTCACGTTCAGGTAGTCCTCCATTGCCTTCTCTGCCTCAATCTTGAGGCCCTCCATCTTCTCAATCATCTTGTCCAGCGGGGACACGGATGCTGCCGCTGACGAGGAACCACCGTCGTGTCTGTCATCGTCGTCATTCTTGTCGTCCTCTTTGTCTCTGCCGTCTTGGGACTTGGGTGACTTCTCCTCCTCCGTCTCATCCTCGCTTTCGTTGCTTGTGTTCGTTTCATCATCGTCGTCACTCACCAAAAGCTCCTCACCGGTCAAAGCGCCGTATTCAACCTTTGACAGGATGTGCATTGTCACCTTGTCACGAGGGATGTTGTGCTCTTCGACATACCCCCCGAAAGTCTGACCAATTGCCATCAACGGGTAGGTGATGACGAAGCCTTGGTCACTGGTCGGGTCTGGGACTGTGCCATAGACAACGACACGGTTGATGTTCTCTGAAGAGAACTGCTCAACGATTGATTGTGCCGTCATCTCATCTGAAGGCATCGTGGGAACTTCAAACGACATGGTTGTCAGCGTCAAAAGGAGTAGCTTGCTCTATCCTGAAAATTTGAACCTCACTTCGCTCACACAAAGGACGTCTCCTGCTTCAATCTACATTCCTGAGCATCTGGAAAGCATTCAAGCACTGAAAGAACAAACAAGCAAGGCGTGCCATTTATGACGTTGTCGCCGATGTCCGCTTCTCCAGTCTAAAACATGTAATGTTGAAAGAACCACCCATAAACCCTAGGAATGACCAAAAGTTAGTGAATGTCTAACCCATACTAAGCC